GGTATTTTCCATTCTTTTGTGAGAAATTTCCTTATAATACCCATGAAAATATTATTTTACAACGTTATTTTTAGTTTTACAGTAACGATAACAGCAGGTATTTATAACGACTCTGATTGGCTTTTCACTCCTATATTTTCATACACGAAGCGCCATCTTGTCGTTTTGGTCATCTGGTATATTCACATGACCTTCTGTTTGGTCCCGTGACTTAGAAGAACTCTCGTCCATTAACTTTTTTCGCTTTTCTGTCACATGGATATGCTGGATCATAGTTTGAATACCAGGTAAGTACAGCTTTCGTAATTTAATTGTTACCTTGGAAAAACAAGAACGTTATTGAAGAGATTACACAGTCATATGTAACTCGACTGTAACGTATGTGCAAGCTGTAACTTAGTTTAAGTTTAGTCTTATTCTGTAGTGTTAATGTTATTGTACTGAAACTGAAAGTTCCGTAGTGTTACTCAAATTACTGAGTTTTCAAATTACAGTTAGTATTGGTCTTATAAGTTATATAGACACGCACACAATTTTAAACCCACAAGGAACCTATTGCTCAATCTAGGCAATCCTATTGATTATACTAAATTAATATAAAAACAAAACCCTTAGAGTCAGCCCTTATCATTCAAATACTTCTTAAACTTCCCCTTTAACACTTAAACTAACTGCATTTATCACTTCTTTTCAAAGGCCAACTACCCTGTTAGAAAAATATAGCTGTCTTAGTTGAAAATAACTAGTACCCTGCCAAAATTTATACTTGTGTACTTTTGTCGTGCCATTTTGATTAAGTATAAAAAAAGATAATGCTTCAACACTTTCAATTCCTTTAAGTTTAACAATTTTAAACACCTTGGTCAGATCCCATATAATTATTTTTAGGAGAAAATTTCAGAGATTTTGTCCTATTCTCTTATGACAACTTTTCCATCCCAGGTATCGTCCTAGTAGTAGCCCTCCTCTGAATCCTTTCCTATAATTCAATATCATTTCTAAGATAAGGAGCCACTGATCACAATACTCCAAATCTGGATTAACCAATGGCCTTTACAATGAAATTATAACCTTTTAGACTTGTATTCAATATTTTTATAGATACAACTTAAAACCATAAGAGACTGATCAACCAGAACACAAAAATCGTTTTTTTTTTCCTAAAACTGTTAAGGTTATTCCCATCAAAATTATAAGTTGATAACCCATTTATTATAAGTAAAAGCTACCTGCCATTTTTTTGCCTAATTCATCAAATCATTGAAATCCTATCCTAAAGCAACAGCAACATCCTAGATCTTAATATCATCAGCAAAATTAATTTAAAACTGATCAGCCACAACATCAGTGATGGAAAAAGTTATTTTTGACTGTTTGATAAAATTTATTTAAAAATTTAAAGAGGTTGTTTGTATAGATGAGAGAAAAAGTGTAAATTTGATGTATTTTGATTCTCAGAAAACACTTGACAAGGTGCTACATAAAAGGCTTGTTTTAAGAAGGAAAAAAAAAAAACTATATATATATATATGTAGGCTTAGGTAGAAGTTGGTAGATAGAAGGACACTGATTTTTTACAAATGGAGTTCAGCCAAACTGGATTTGTGGCACATATGGGGTACCTTAAGACTCAGAGTTACTGTTAAGACTTTTACTCTTTTTGATTTTTATTTATATATATATGGCATAAATGCAGGAATGGTCAAAAATGATTTAAATATGCTGATGATATTAAGGTTTTGGATGTTGCTAGCTTTCAGGATGCTTCTGCTATACAAAAGGATTAATGTTATTTGGTGAATTGGTGAAAAAAAATAGCAGATGGATTTTAATTAACAAATTCAAGGTAATGCATGAAGGTTATCACATGAGCTATAAATATAATTCTGTTTGGAAGAAAGTGACCTTTATGTTGCTAGTAAAAGGACAAATAGGATTTTATGTTGTATCTACAGAAATAGTGAATACAAGTCTGAAGAGGTTATTTCATTCTGTAGGTCACTGGTTAGGCCACATTTGGAGTATTGTGTTCAGTCTTGGGCTCCTTACTTTAGGAAGGACATTGAATTGTTGAAAAGGGTTCAGAGGAGGATCCCTAGGATGGTATCTGGGATGGAAAGGTTGTCATAAGAGGACAATTTAACATCTCTGATTTTTCTTTCTACAGAAGAAAAGTTATAGGGAATCTGATTTAAGTGCATATGTTTTTGCTGGGGATCTCATTGAAGTACATGTTTTTTTTCATACTTAATGGTAGGATGAGGAGACAAATAAATTTTGACAGGGTAGGAACAACTTTCAGCCAGGAGTTTTATTTTTCTAACAGGGTGGTTGGTTTTTGAAATGGGTTGCCTTCAGATATGTTGAAAGAATTGAATTTAAGGGAGTTAAATGGAACTGGAAGGCTTGATAAATATTTGAATAATAAGGGCTAACTTTGAGTTTATATATAATATAGTTTAGTGAATGGGATAGCCTAGATGGACAAACAGGTCCCTTGTTGTTCTTAAATGTTACATTACTAATGTTACTACTAATCATTGGTGATGTTAGTAAAACATGTAGGTTCAAGTCAATTTACGACAAATAAAAACCCTATAACCTGAGCACTTTTGAAAGGTTGACTCTTCTTCAGAGGCAAATTTTGTTGTTTATTATTGTATTTGTGAATTATACACTGTAGTTAGTATACAGTTAATAATAATAGTGTCAGTATAATGACATTATAAGTGAGTATTAGTTGTACTGTTTGTATTATTTTCAACATTTGTCTCATATGAGTCTTAATTACCAAGTCTGGTAAAGACTACATTGAACTCACTTAGATTTGAAAAAAAAAAAACTTGGCTTAGTCCCACTGCAATAGTAGTGTTAGCCATCTTGCCATCCATATTAAGTTTAACATAACTTGATATTTAAAATCTCATAAAAGCATACTTTAAATCTAAGTGTGTTTGGTTTATAGGGTGACCAGATTTTCAAATCTTAAATCCAGGACACAGTCATAGCTTCAGGTATTAAACCTGAGAACCTCCCATTTTTAGGGAAGATTATAAACAATTAATTATGCAAATAATAAATATCCTCAAGTAAGAAGTATATTTGTCCTTACATTATTTATGCTAGGTACTTTTGACAAGTGTTTTTTTTTCTTAGAAACTTCTTGCCAATCTATTGATCACTCAAAATCACTTGTTGGGACTAAAGAAAAAAAGTGCTCAGGAGAATTGGTCCTTCTAGCAACTGCCTGGTACAACATAATATGTAAACATTATGATACATGAATATTATTTTTCCACACTTAAAACAACATTTATTTTTATTTTTCACAACATTTTAATTTCTCACGTGTTGGGTGTGAAATTACTGTAAACGTAGTATTATGAAAAAGTAAATTTGCCTTTTCTTTCTACAATAATACGTTGGTCAATCAATCTGTTTTCAAAATTGAAACATGTATTCTTTATTGAACTTTAATAAATTCATATGGAACATGTAAGAATTTGGAAATAGCAGAGAAAACCCAATAAAATATAACTTAACAAATTGTATTTAACTTCATGAACATAATTTAGTGGATGCAACAAATTTAAGAAAAGGCTCAATAAATATATAAATGATAAGGGCTAAATTTTTGTTTTGGTTTACTTTAACCCTTTCGAGATGGGTCACGGTTGAAAGGCCATGTCATCTCGTTTGTTGACTCGCATTCAAAATTTTATTGAACTACTATTTCATGAATTTATGACAATACGTTTGGTATCAAACTGTAGATTATAATTCAAATTTTAGTACTCTACATTACTCAATTGCTTAATTTAAAAGTAAATATAAAAAACACAGATAAACCTAAATTTTTGTGTGTCACATGGTCTGTTGAATGAAGTCTATAGTTTCGTATGAATTAGAAACTCAAATTACTGATATTGACAAGCTGGAATATAAAATAAGAACATCTTACCTTTTCTGTTTGCCAAGGTATTGCTCATTTAATAAATCAAACACAGTGGCACCCCACCCACCTCTTTCCATTTTTGAAAATGCCCCTTTATATACACTTACTTATATATATAATATGAATAACCAATCAGAAGCTCAGAATGTTCTCCTAGTGGCTTTCTCAGCCATTTCAACAGGCTTGGACACCAATTCTTTCTTTTGAACCAATATTTCAAGTAGGTTGGTTGGATAGAATTGACAGGTCTGTATATGTATTTCATAGACCTAAATTAATTCCCCAAAACTATTAAAGAAGGGATAGAATTGACAGGTCTGTATATGTATTTCATAGACCTAAATTAATTCCCCAAAACTATTAAAGAAGGGATAGAATTGACAGGTCTGTATATGTATTTCATAGACCTAAATGGACTACATTTACAAAAATAACAGTGGTTTATTGCACAGAATTCAATTGTAGAATGAAGTGCTCATGTACTAATAGTAAAGAAAAATCTGCAGTGTCTTTTTAGAAGCCATTAAACAAGAATGTAAATGTGCACAAACAAATAATTAAATATTGACTCTCAATTTCTTTAGTTCCCGTTTATTTTTTATAGAGCAACTTATTAAATAAGTAAAGGACAAGAAATTACGACCTTCAAATGTTAATTCTAAGATTCTTGTGTTTGTTTGATTTATGAAATCCAATTTGAATGAAGTACATAAGAAATATCTTTCAGCAGTAAGTTCAGTATACACAAAGAGTCAGTTTATGATTATAAATATATTTTGTAAATTCTTCCATTATCAATAACAAAAATATGTATGTACTAACAAAGTTGGTGGTTCCTTATTTCTTGTGGCATTAGCAATGAAAACATTTTAACACAACTGTTGATGTAGTTTCATAGCACTTTATTACAGGAGAGTGAAAAGTATTCTTCAAATCATAGAAGAAATCCATTCATTATTAATGAGTTAAATTCAAACAGGACTTTTAAGTTTATTCCATAATTATAATAAAAGAAATTTCACCTTTTATTCTCAATTAAAGAAATTAAATTGAAAGTAATTGCAGGTATTTAAGATGTATTCTGTTAAATATCTGATATTTTCCTCATTAATGCAATAGGATTAAAGACTGAAACTTCAAGAATATTTTATGGTGAAGGTTAGTAAAAAGATGGTATAACAGTTTTTTAAGCACAAATAGTTTATTGGATAAAATCTCCAGTTATATGTACATTTTTAAAATAAACATATACTAACTATATAAAATGGTGAACTAATTTTGGCACATTGATGTCAGTATTAAGGGTAACTTTGTCTGTGGTTGGTTTGGGTGAAATGACCTGCCCACTCTTTGTTGGCCAGGGGTTTGTTATAAAATTCTACTCAACTATAGTGCTGGGCAATTAGTGGAATTTGCTGTTCAATTAGTCAGTGGGCTCATTAATTGATTACATTTAAACTAATTGATTATTCTTTCATCAGACGTAGATACTTGGAATAATCAAAAATTGTAATAATCAGAAACATTTTGATTAGTTGATTAATTTTTGTAGGTCACAGCAATAATTGATTAAGCTGAACAGCCTTCAATTAACCCTGTGTTCAATTAATTATTTTACATTATACTAATCAATGTAATCAATGCTCATAGGTAATAGTTAATTACCCAGCTTTGTTTATTGTTAACCCTTGAGCTACTTTAAATGCTTCACAACTTAAAAGTCAACCATCGGCTATGAACATCACCTGTCATTTGCATTCTACTCTACTTTGTTTTAATGGGTGCAAATCATGTGATTAGTGATCTACGCAATACTGCAATCATGTCATTTTCTGTAGCATGCTTCATAGCCAACTTCCTGGGAAACACAAAAGCTAAGCTTCGTCATTCAAAACTGTATGGTAATTTCCCTACTGAGATAAAAATAATTATCTCTTCTTTCATGGTTGTCAGAGGCTCAAAGTACTAAATACAAGTATAATAAAGCTACAAATTACTGACAAAAATTAAAACCGAGTCATTTAGTCATCCCAAAAGGATCTTCTGGGACAGTATGCCAAGAAATTGAACTATTCTGGCCAAGCTGTGATGTATTGTCACTATTTCTTGAATAAATTATATTATCATTTGGAGATTTAGTAATAGTATTTCAAAGGTTACACTTTACGAGTATTCTTACACCTACTTCTATGCTGTTGGTAAAAGTTGTATATGTTTAGGTGTTTTATTTTAATAATTAACGTGAAACATAATTATGATCACGAGACTTAAGACATTGTATTATAACTAGGAATACTAATAATTAGACTCAATACCAAGGTCTTATTCTTATAATTTGAATATTTTCCTTTAATTTAGGTCATTAAACAGCACATTTGATTCTACTTATTGATGATTTTGCAGACCCTAATCACCATCTTTGTCCTGTATTCTGAAGACAACAGGACATAAGTTTGAGATCTGGAAAAGACAGACAGGCTAGGCTTCAGTTAATACAGTTGCATTTTTCTAACATAGTGATTGGCTTTTTGAATGAGTTGCTATCAGGAGTATTGGAGCTGTTACTTTAAAAGAATTGAAGAGAGGTCATGATGTCTTGAAAAATAAAGGGTTGTCAAGAGTAGGTGTGAAAATACAACCTTGAAGGACCAAGTGGCCCTTTATATTGAGTTTATATTAAATTCATGCATTATAGTATCTGAAAATAAAGCAGTTTTTTTTATATTTACAAGTTTTTTTCCAATTGTGTAGCTATGACTTTTTTATTAAGTAATCACATCAAATTATTACAAAAATGTAAATAAATAGTATAATTGATATGTTTTCGGATGTTATTCATAAATATTTGTTCAGAATCAGCAGTAGTACTGTCTGTTTACTTTATGTTCAAGTGGGCTGTTAGATCCAAAGGTAGAGTCCAAAATATAATATCAAGATGAGAATTTTAGTACTTGTTTATCTAATTTTTCTAAGTTAGGCATAGAACTAATTATTAATAACTTCTGATGAAAAATAGACAAACTTAGTTTTCAGTCTTGATCTTCAACTTTACTTATAAGTTCATGAAACCCAGTATAAAAAAACTACTTAGAAGTATACTTATTACTTATTAGCAGCTTTTTTTTGGCTTAGTGAATGGATTTAGTGCTAACCTTAATCTACCACACTGATTAAACATTATGGGATTATGGCTAAAAATATTATTTGAGGGTTCCCAATTGATGATTCAATAAAGCATAATCAATCATTTAATGTTTGTTTTCTTGTGTTTTGATTCTTGATACTATAAAACTATAAAGAAAGTGGAGTAGGTCATTGGAAATGGACATAATAAATATGGTGTGGTTGTCACAAGTTCTTATTACTGTTGTAGCTTTTTTCCCATTGATACTGTGATCGCTTCACCTATTCTAGGATCAAAAAGACTTACCTTGCTGGTTCATCTGATCTTCTGTGCAATTAGTGGGTTAATTTGCGTAAACAGCATTTTTCAACCATTACGAAGTCTAGTCCAGGCCTTGACAAATATTTTCAGACCTAGGAGTCAGTCCAAAAACTTGGGAGCCAGGTGTGCCTAACCTAGCTTCACTACTCTTTGTACTGGGAAATTGGGGCTACACTAGTGCTTCTGTTATCCGCGATCCTCGATTATTCACAGTTTTTTCTTTTTTTTCATATTTTCTCAAAATATTTGTGCCATTACAATTTTAGACAATAATTTACATGTTTTGGAAAAATTGTCGCTCAGAAATTAATTTTGGTTGCAAAGATTCGGGTGTTGCATGATATCCAGGGTTTTAACATGCAAGATCTGGCTTGTTCAAATCATAAGTGGGCCAGTTCAAGCCTAGTCTTGCCAATTTTATTTTTAGCTGTTGAAACATGAATACTAAATATTTATAGCTTGGTTAACTTTACTTGATTAGTGATTAAGAACATAGTATACAAAAATGCACAAAATACACATTACGATTTCTTTAAGGTTTCACTTAACTTCAGTTGTCGTTGGCTGTTCTGTGCTACACGACGGGCATTCTTTAACATGCATACTGCCCAGTTATGCATTGTCTACTTCTCTACAGATAATTGGTATCTTCAGTCTGTTTTAACAAAGGCTTTTTTCTAATAATTCCCAAACGAGATTTGTGCTAATTTTTAAATTATTATTCACAGCCGTTCAAAGTGTGCGAATGTGTCTATAGCAGAAAAAGTGCTGAAACTTTTTAACTATTTATGCCTATTTTAGTGTTTAAATTAAACAAAAGCAGGAATGGGCAATCAAAAGAGGAAGTATTATAGGAGAAAAAGTGGCATTAAACTCGTGTAACTCATGAAATTTGGAGAAATTGAGCGTGACTGACCAACACTTGGCTTTTAGGATTATGATTGTGAGGACTTTTATAATATTTCATGATTATGTGATTAAATGACAATTAAAAGATTATAATTTAAAACAAGGAACTTAAATATATTGAAAAATTTTATCTAGATTAAACAATGGGCTAACTAGTGAGACACAATAGTGCCTCACTTATCCGCTGTGTCTGTTATCCATGATATTTTGCTTTTCCCAGACCAGCATGAATAATTGAGGACCAGTGTATATTTATTTACTTTCACAGCAATGAATGCATGCTAACGATCACATGATATCAACAGTCACTTCATAGTATTGCCTGAACTAACTGCCTTTGGTCCTGTCTGAGTCTATACATGCTCACTGATTGGTTGAATTGAGAGAAGAAAGAAAAAAAATATGTGAAATTAGTAAAGTGTTGTGCAACTACAGTGCTTCATTCCTGAACAAACGTGAAGATCAATTTGAGGCTCAAAGAATGCGAAAATAATTCTGGACTTCCAAGAGTCCAGAACTGTTCTAGATTCGAGTTCTATTTAGCACAGCCCAGTGCACAAATGAAATTGTAGGAAAGCCTAGGACCATGATGGTGCTCGGAATTTGTCGAAGCCTGATCTGGTGCATCCCAGCAGACTTGAAGAGCCTTAGTAATGGGCAAAAGGTATCACCTACACTGGATATAGTAGATATGGTTTTGATATGTTGTTATACACTCTTCACTTTCATAAGTTTCATAAAATAACTCGCAGACATCAAGGGTCCATTTGGTCCTTCAAGGCTGTCCTTGCATACCCACCCTTGGGAAAAGTAAACATTTAAACTTGCACTTTATTTCTCTGAAGATTATTGATTCTCATCTTAAACTTGTACAGTGCTGGTCTCCATTACTGCTGATAATAACTCCATTCCCCAAGTCAATCATCCTTTTAGAAAAATAAAACTGTCTTAAGTGGAATCTGGCTTGTTTTTTCAGATCTTGTGTCCTCTCATCTTATCTTCCAAATGTAGCAAAAAGAAATCAGTTCTTTATCCTATTAGTCCCCCATATAAACTTCAATAAGATCATCTTTTACCAGGGCCTAAGCTGACTTTTAGTTTGTATAGCAATTTAGCTAATCTAGTTTCAAACTTTGGGGTGTAAGTTAAATTCCTAGCTAAGGTAAATACCAAACTGTATGTTATACGCTACGTGAAACTGAAAAAGACTAACACAAGATAATGTCACACAACAGTTTTCATTTTTCTGACTTAAATAACACTGTAATTGTTTTGTACAGATGTCTATCATATGAAACAAAGAGTAATTCAAAAAGTAGTTAAAAAACAAACTACAAATAGACCATAATAGGAAGAGAAATTTATGTTGGATAAAGGAGTGATTCACAAACTTATGAAGCTATAACATCCCAGTTCATTTTTGCTTGTACAAGAGGAGCTGTACAAATTAATTAATCAAATGTAATCAATTAATGAACATGTTAATTAATTGATTAGCAAGTACCACTAATCACCCTTCTCCAATTTATATTTAACACTATAAAAGTAACTCAGTAAGAAAAGGCTTGTAATATTTCAGGGGGTAAGCACCTGTTTGAAATATTTAAATTCTAAAAATGTAAAATTTAACCCACTTATTTAGCTGTATGTATTTCTTAGTCTTAAAATTTTAACATAAGATATTTGCTTTTCAAATTAGTGGTTCAGAGAAATCAGCTGAGTCAGGAACAACAGATGAAATTCATCACATTCAGGATGGTAAGTTTGTACTATTTTGTGCATACATATTTTTAAGCTACAATTGTGCATGCAAAACCAAAGTAAAACAAAGGTGCTCTATAAAGAAACATCATCAAGTAACTTGTTTAGTACTGTTCTTATTTTTAGTAAATTCAACATATTTTGAATGAACCAGTAATTTTATCTGAATAGAATGGCTAGAATTTCTTAGATTTCTAATTACCAGTTTGTTTTTATACCATTTGATATATGCTTGGTCCAAATATTGCACCACATATTGAATAAATTTGTTTTTCAATTTATAACATTCAATGTAAAAAACTGACCAAAAGGATTTGGTGAAATGTCTCATTTTCTCCATGACAAAAATCTAGAAAACACCAGCAGTAATTAGTGGAATTATTGCAGTATTAATGGTATTTTCTTTTGATATTTTTTTGTTTGGTTTGTGTTTTATTAAGATCCCTTAACAAATAATTATAGACCCATAAGTAATTTGGTGCATAAATAATTCATAAAAATGTATTTATAAACCCAAAAATGTTAATTGAACCAAAAACACCCTATTCCTTTATTGTAAGCAAATTGTCTTGATAACAGAAGATTCAGGATCAATTACAGATTGAATTGTAAGTATTGGACACGTGACTTTAATTATTTTCTATAAAAAACATATCTAGTATAATTGGTTTTATCAAATCTGAACCCATAATTTTTTGTTCATTCTGCCTGAATTATTTTCGTGATTTCCTAATAATTATCACCATTCAATTTTATTAATCTTGTTTTTCCCTTCAGCATCAGGAGTACTCACACGAAGCATTATTGAATAAATATCCTCAAACCTCTCCTGTTTGAACATTTGGTGTCACTATCTGATGGGTAAATTGGGATTTATGACCAGGCGCTGTCACTGTCTGTTTAGTTTTAAGGTGTGAATGCTATGTTATAGCTAGTTCATGTTGATAGTACCTTATATGCCCACCCTTTCAGCCATGGGGGTGTTATAATGTTTTGATCAATCCCACTATTTATTGGTGAAAGAGTATCCCAAGAGTTGGCAGTAGGTGGTGATGACTAGCTGCCTTCCCTCTAGTCTTACACTATTAAATTAGGGACGGCTAGCACATATAGCCTTCGTGTAGCTTTGCACGAAATTCAAAACAAACAAACACTACCTTAAATCTGGTACATGTACAAATCATTACCTTGACATTGCTTTGCCACTAAGAGGTAGTCTTCTGTTTAAAGGTAGAAAAAAGCCATTGTTTCTTAAAGTACTCCCCTGCAGTCCTATATCACAAAATTTCACTGTGTAGTTTCACTAGCCTGCTCAAAGTTTTATATAACTAGCTTAAGTCTTTACATCACAGCTGAATGAATATGAATAACTGAGTTTATAACTGACTAGTATCTTTGCACTTCTTGTGTCTTTAAGTCTTTTACAGCTCTGCCTCTACTAAATGATGCCTGAGTTTACAAAGTTGTGTACAATAGCTCTGTGTATAGTTGTTACAGTATTGAGTACAAAAGGAGATTTAGTACCCAAAATAGAATAAAAAAACAAATACAGATGTTCATTGAAAGCAGAAACTCTAGGAAGACTTGAGAATATTCAAATGAATAATATTCAGTTACCAAATTATGATCCAGTTAGAGCAATCAGGCTATGGGTTACAAAAAAAAGAAAAGAAGAAAGGGATGGCTTTGCCAACAATATAAGCCTAGGGCTAAGAAGCCAAAGGAGTGCTTCACCCCCTATAGGAGTCATTGAACAAGTACAATATATATTAGTTTAACATCTAAATATGTGAAAATTTTGAAGTTAATCAAGTAAAGTTCTTGGTAGTCATGCACAGGAAGTGTTGGAAGCTTTTAAATCCAGTCACAGTTCAGGGTATATTACCTTCTTTACGTAGTTGTATAACCCTCTGGCACAGACTCTGAGTAGGTAAATGTTTGTATGAGCCTGAAATCATTCCTTTTAGCATGGGCCACTCTTGCTTGAGCTTTTCTTTAACTAAGAGTTTGTTGACTTGTTTTTGTTCTTCTCTTTGTTCATCCTCCCCTTGGAGACTGCCATGAACAACATTTATTGTTTGGTCAGTTCCATATAACATTCCAAGAACCTCAAGAGCTTCCTCACTTTAACTAGTACCTGCCAAACTTACCACCACTGTTTCCAGCAAGTTTTACTAGTACCTGCACAAATTTACCACCACTGGTTCCAGCAAGTTTTACCAGTACTTGCCAGGTTTGCCACCACTGTTTCCAGCAAGTTTTACCAATACCTGCCAAATTTACCACCACTGTTTCCAGCAAGTTTTACCAAATTTACCACCACTGTTTCCAGCAAGTTTTACCAATACCTGCCAAATTTACCACCACTGTTTCCAGCAAGTTTTACCAGTACCTGCCAAATTTACCACCACTGGTTCCAGCAAGTTTTACCAATACCTGCCAAATTTACCACCACTGGTTCCAGCAAGTTTTACCAATACCTGCCAAATTTGCCACCACTGGTTTCAGCAAGTTTTACCAGTAACTGCCAATTTTACCACCACTGGTTCCAGCAAGAGACTAAAGTCTTTAAAAATCTCACTGTCTTCTTTTTTTGAATCTGTGTTTTATTTTATTTTTTTAGACTTTATGTACCTCTTTTTTCAGGTCTGACAATTCATTTTCAAAGTTTTCAGAATACTTTTTTAAGTTTTTCTCCATTCATAACAGCACTAGTTTTTCCTCCTATAAGTTCTATGCTGTCTCTCATGCTCTTTACAGCATTTCCATCTCCTGATTCAAGAAAATCTAACTTAGCTATTGTTGCTTCTGTCAATGGCTGTATTTCATTAAATACCAAATTTTGTTTTTGCAACTGCTTACTAAGCATTACAAGAACATCATGAATATTTAGCATGAATGACACCGGCTAGCATCACTGTCTTATATTCTGAAAAGTATTTGTGCAAACCATGGGCAGTAGCATAAACTTTTCTACAAAGTTTGAAAGGGTAACCAGGATTGAGTTATTCGTCTCATACACAGCTTCAACAGCATTTTTAAGCCCAAGCCATCTTATACTATGTGGCTCTTTTATTGTAAGTTCAGGCTCACCTAATAGTTTTTGAATACTGTTGAGTTACAGTTATTTCACCCACTCGTGAAATAATAGAAAAAGTTAAAATTTATGTCTTGAGAGTGTCCAACCTTTTAAATTTTAGTTTAGGCAATGGGCAATACAGTGGGTTTGTACTGCAAATGGGAAGTACTTTGATTTCATCTGCACACCAACATCTGTCTTTTTACCTGTCATTGTTGATGTATCATCTGTTGCTATAGAAACAATCTTAGCTGGGTCAAGCCCGAGGTTAGTGAGGTACTTTATCAGGTGACTGACAATGGTATAAGCTTTTCCATCCTCAGAGGCTACGTTTGTTAAGAAATTTGTTACTGCTTTACCATTCTTCACATACCTTATACATAGTGATAAATGTTTCTGTATTAATAAATCTTTGCTTTATTCTATCATTATTGCATATGTCTCGGACTGAAGGATTTCTTATATAAGTGACCTCTGAATAACTCTACGTATACATGACTGTATATCATTTATTGTTACGTAGCTTAAATTCTTATATTTGATTTTTGCTCCATTCAAATTCTGTAACTCAAGCAAACTGTTAACTTTATTCCTCCTTTGATACATAAAAGATTGTACGAAACGATTTATTGTCATCATCTGATACAGAGATCGAATTATTTTCCTTGTCAACATCACAATCATACATTTTACTCTTGTCTCCAGATTCCTAAAAGCAGCCCATGCCTCTCAATACTGTTCTTCTGAATATTAGGTGATCCCTCATTCACCCATATGCTTCTCTCTTTTCTCTCTATGCAAATGCTGCACTTCAGTCTCTTATCTACCACTTCACCAACCACCACAAAGCATGAAAATTTTTTCTTCCAATACTGAATTGTTTATTCAGTTTCAAACAAGATGATAAAACTAAAGACAGTGCATAGATTGTTTGCAAAATCGTATATGATCTTATCATTTCTTGCACTGAACTTGGTGATTAAACAGCAAAGAAACAAACTAGAACTACCATTTTATTTGTACAGCGAGCTCATTTTTGTCGTATAATTCTTCTTAACTCTTCCTGGTCAAACTAAACTGTTGATGAGATAACATTTTTGTCATCCGTATATCAAGAGTACTTGATAAAGTCGACAAAAGTCAATAAGCTTTTGCCCAAATTGGATTGCATCAGACTGACTGGTTCTCTGAAAATTGAAACAGCATGCTCAATTAGCTTACTTAAATTTACTCCAGATAAAGTCAGTGACTCCGTAATGGCCACTTTTCAAAGCATTTTTGTTTGCCTAGATCTGATTTTTAATACATTTTTTGAGGAAAATATGCATGAATACGCAGTATGTGTCCTTATCTAGAGCTCTGGTTTTCTCTTATGTTTAATACTGCATTATTTATAACCAAAGAAAGCCAAAGTTTTAATCTGTCAATTGATTTATAATGTTACATTGTTTCCTGTACAAGAGAATTGTCTATTTTGCTTCCAGCTCAAACTTTATTCCCACAGGAAACACTTCAGTGAGCTTAACTGAGCCATTTTGATGAAAGTGAACCTAAGAAAAGTAAGGTCCATTTTAAAAAAACTGTTATCTTTTCATTAATAACTGTTTGTTACATTATTATTATTTGTTTTTGGTAGATGGAACTGTTGGTGTGATGGAAGGAGTAGAAAATGGTACAGGACTAAACCTTAGCCCACAGAGTGGTAGTTTGATGGATCCAAATGTTCAGTATCAGCTTCATGCTGAGAATGGACATGGTAATAACCAAATGGGTTCTCTATAATACAAATTTTGTATGTAGAAGTTTGCAAGTCCTTGGGTAATTATTTTGTGGAGATATTTGTGGTATTAAATGTAACCTCAACAGTATTGTAGTATGTAATAAAATTTATCACTTAGTTATTCTGTATTTTTCAAACAAGTTTAAGTAAATAGCATATTTTTCTGTACAGAATTGCTAATAGTTTTGAAGCACAAATTGACAATACAAAGGTACTGTAGTTTTAAAAGAGATGAAAAACTTTATAATAATATATCTTATAATTGCATACATGTAATTTTTTTCAATTTAATCATATAATGAAATTCTGTTATTTGACTACTCATGAACCTATATAAATTGTTTGTGGCATATACATACATCACTAGCTTTATCAGAAAGGTTCAATTGCTGTAATAATTCATTAGTCAATTTTGTTTAAAAAACACATGAACCCCACACTTGAAAGACATACAGAAGTCATTATTTTAAGTCTTTCCGTATGGGTACTCTTTTCTGTACATGTCACAAGGTTTTACTGAGTTACATTCAAAATTTAATTAAAATATTTGGTCGTCAAGAAATTAATGTCACATTTTGGAACACTTTCATCAACCCCCACAACAAAAAAACACATACATCACATATAATAGTTAAACGAACTGCCTAAACGTCACATTAGTGTAGCCTATATAATGTGTACTCTTTTCTGTACATGTCACAAGGTTTTACTGAGTAACATTCAAAATTTAATTAAAATATTAGGTCGTCAAGAAATTAATGTCGCATTTTGGAACACTCCCCAAAAAAGTACATCACGTATAACAGTTAAATGAACTGTTTAAATTATCACGTTAGTGTAGCCTATATAATGTATAAAGTTTAGTATACTCTAATCTCTTATATTGATGGCACATGACGAGAGACACATTCAGCATATAATGATGTTTGAATACAAAAAGGGAAACAATGCTTCTTTAGCCATAAAGAAGTTTATGGAAATGTTTGAACATTCGTTGTAAGTGTCAATGATGGTTCAGCAAATTTCATTCAGGCCTTATAAACTGTGATGGCAGGGGCCGACATGTTGGAATTGATATTGATGCACTGAAGATGCTTGTTGAGTCTAACCCCAGGCAATAGAGTTGTGAAATGGCCCTGAAATTGCATGTCTCTCATGAAACAATACGTAAACATGTAAGGAATATGGGAAAACTCCATAAAGAAGGTGTTTGAGTGCCTCACATAATGCACATTAACCATTTTTGGACAGAATTGTCACCCCTAATGAAAAATGGATTCTCTATGCGTATATTAAATGCCAAAAACAATGGCTCAGTCCTAGACAAAAAAACCACTTCCAACTCAAAAATCGCGACACTGCAGAGATCTATAGTCAGCAGTTGGAACATTTAAATCAAGCCCTTCATCACAAATGCCCTTCAATCAGAAAGGTGTTCGTCTTCTCCACAATAATGCACATCTACATGTGGCACATTTGACACAACACAAGTTTATGGAGTTGGGTTAGGAAGTTTTCCCCCACTCATCATATTCTCCAGATATGGCACCATCAGATTATCATCTTTTTCAATTGCTACAACACCATCTTAATGGGAAAACGTATGAAAATGTGGGAGGTGTTAAAGAGGACATTGACATGTTTTTTGCCTCAAAGCCAAGTGATTTCTGTAATCAGGGCATTAACAACCTGA